AGAGAATTTACAGGCAAGAAGGAGATGGAAAGAAGTATTTGAAGTCATGAAAGGCAAGAACCCACATCCAAGATTACTCTATCCAGCAAAGCTTTCATTCACAATGGAAGGGCAGACAACATGCTTTCCAGGCAAGGTCAAGTTAAAGGAGTTCATCATCACCAAGCCCTTATTATATGAAATGTTAAAGAGACTTATCTAAGAAAAAGAAGATGAAAACTATGAACAGTATAATGACAGGAAACTCAGTTATTAACAACCACACCTAAAACAAAAACAAAAGCAAACTAAGCAAACAACTGGAACAGGAACAGAACCACAGAAATGGAGATCACATGCAGGGTTATCAACAGGGGAGTGGGAGCAGGAAAGACGGGGAAAAGGTAGAGAGAACAAGTAGCATAAATGGTAGGTAGAAAGTAGACAGGGGGAGGGTAAGAATAGTATAGGAAATGTAAAAGCCAAAGAACTTACATGTATGACCCATGGACATGAACTAAAGAGGAGAAATGCGGGTGGGAGGAGGTGTGCACTTCTTTCATTCTAATTTGCTTAGTCATGTAATGACTACTGGGATTTTTTATTATGAGGAAAAATTAATGTGGACTCAATTTGATTTACTTTATACATTATTGCTTTGTATACAGCTTCTAAGAACACATCTAATGTATCATATTAGGTTACCCCATTATTATTACCGGTGCTATACTTTAATATGTAAAACAAAGTCTTACACTGAAATTCCGTACCATTTAATTTTCTTTTGTATTGCCATAATATACCTCAAGGCAACCCTTCCAATAATCTAATCAGCAAACCCAAACTCTGAAGTTATCTTTTCCTCATTATCTTAACATTATTCTGAGCATCTATGTTTAAAATGTATCCATTTTTTATAAGGTCATTGAACAATAAAAGTCATCTAAGAATCACTGCAGGTAAATAACAATGCTCTTGAAACTTGTACAAAGACATGTAATTGATAGAGAATTATTTTGAGTCCTCACAGACTCACCAGCTACAGCAGAGGACAGTTAAAAGACAGGCCTGAACTTTATGACTTAGCCTACTCCTTTAGTTACCAACAAAGTAGTAAAGAACTAAATCATTAAAGTACTCCATCACTTCTGGAAGAATGAAAAGTGTTACACAGCATAGTCTTAAAGTAAAAACAAAGCTAAAGCCGTAAAACTAATCTCATATTAACAAGGATATGAGAACTGTTACCAAAAAAATTTAAGGAATTTGGCCAAAAGCCAAAAAAGTGTTTTTCTTCTCTCAATCTAAAATGCTGTTGTTACTGTGCTAGAACATGAATGGATTCTGAAAACATTAGCCTAAATAAAAGATGCCAGGCACAGACATAGAACCATATATGATATGATTCATTCATATGAAATAGCCAGAAGAGGCAAATCCAGAGAGTCAAGTAGATCGGTGGTTGCCAGAGGATGGGAGCAGGGAACAAGAATGGGGAATGAGTATTAATGTGCACAGGGTTGCTTTCTGATGTACCGAAAACACTATACGATCAGATTGTGGTTGCACAAACCCGCTGAACTGCAAACTGATGAATTTTATGGTATGTGAAATATATTTTGATAAAGCTACACAAAAAACTATACAAAATTTGAAAATTTACTTCCTCATTCATACTCGCCACATTTCTGAGTGCTCAAGAGTCACATTTGGCTAGTGATTACCATAATAGTACAGAGATACAAAACATTTCCAACATTATGGGAAGTTCTATTGGACAGAACCGTTTCAGAACATCAAAAAGCAAGATAATTAAATATAAAATAAGCAAAAGGAGAACCTGGCAACTTAAGTTACTTTACTATCAGTAAAACAAGTTAATCTGGCAATAACTGAAGCCAGACCAGGTCTACAACAAAAACTGCCAGAGAATATGACACAGTCAAGTGCAAGAGCTAAGAATCACCTTGTTCTCCTACACTCTTGTATAAATGAATCTGGGCAGAGATTAAAGAAAACAAAGAAACACAAAACTCCCAGATTCTTTCTAAATCCTCCATATTTGTGAGAGATTACAGTTATCCCTCTTTCTGTCAGGGCATCAGCATAACAATCATCATCCAAAAACGTGCAGCTCCCTCAGAAGAATGTAAGACTGAACTGAACGTTCACGTCCAACAGCCAGTAAAGAACTGAACAGACAGCCCTGACTGGCGTGGCTCAGTTGGTTGAAGCACTGGCCTGTAAGCAAAGGGTTACAGGTTCTATCCCTGGTCTGGGTACGTATGATCCCGGTCTGGGGGCTTACAGGAGGCAACCAATTGATGTTTCTCTCTCACATCGATGTTTCTGTTTCCCTCTCTCCCTTCTTCTCTAAAACACAATAAAAAAATGTCCTCAGGTGAGGATTTAAAAAAAATTTGAACATACAGTTTAAGATTAAGTACATATGATTTGATATCATTTATTAACTTCATATTTAGGCAAAGCCAACATAATTCATTCTAAGGCAATTCCATTTATGTAACGTCATTTAAATGAAAATGTTTGTGCCCTGGCTGGTAGAGCTCAGGGGACTGAGCATGGGCCTGCAAACCAAAGGATCTAGGGCACATGCCTGAGTTGTGGGCCAGGTACTCAGGAGCAGGCGCACGAACAGCAACCATACAATGGTTTTTCTCTCCCTCTCCTTCTCCTACCCTTCCGACTCTGTCTAAAGTTAAATAAATAAAACCTTTAAAATGTTTTTAAAAGCATTAAAAGTAAGTAAAAATGTTTGTAATAACCCACTCATAACTTACAATGTTTCCATGGTAATTTAAAAAGTTAACATAGTTAGACCACATTTATTTCTCATTTTGCAGTGTAAACCTTTTTTGTTTTATACTGACATCAAGTGGCAGTATCATGTAATGCGATTTACCAAACTGCTTTTCTATGCTTTCTGAAAATCTAAAGGGATTTTAAGATACAGTATCAATATTTTCACAAGTCTGAGAAGGATAAGAAAGAGACTTAGGAATGCCTAAGACCCAATTCCAGTTCAGCTTCCTCAAAAGTTCTCAGCACACAATTCATTTCTTTGAGGGTTCTGCCACTCATGAGCTGAATGACCTTGGACAAGCTAGTATGCCTTTCTGCACAGTCTCACTGTTCATATCCATAAAACGTGGCTTATAGTAAAACCTGTAACAAAGAAGAAGTATGAGTATTCAAGGACATGTAAATGTACGGTGAGTAAAACAATGCCAGGCACAGTAAGAGCAAAGTATTGGCTACCAATTTAGATTTCCCTACTAAAATACAAGTATCAAAGGAAGGATAACACCCTACTCTGAACTTACTCAAGTACACAGCCATTTGAAACAGTAAGAACTCTCAGTTAGAGACAAAGTATACATTCAGGTTTGAGGAGCACTAAAGGTAAGAAAGTGGAAAATCAAAGCCCATGTTTTCCTTACTCACAATTACCCCTGATGCTAATTCTGTTGGATGTATACATACAGGTCAACTATAAACCACTGTGACTTAATGCAGAGTCAACTCAATTAGTCAGTTTTGTTCTCCAACTAACTAGAGAAAAAATAGCACAATCAGAATTTCCTATCACCAGAACTTGCAATTCATTATCTAAGCCTTAATAACTTAAAAATACTTCACCAAATTCATTTATAAGACATGATTCTAAAAGCACTTTTAAAAAATCTACCAGTATGTCTAATATATGAATTAAACTTTTTTTCAAAATTTTAAACTGACAAAAATTCAAGTCATATAAAATTAAGACTCCCAATGTAAACATCTACTTATGGCTAAATATCTAGACTTCTAACCCACTACCACATTCCTCCACCCCAGCCCCAGACTACTCATGTAGTTCTACACCTTGTTCTAATTCCACTTCAGAAGGCTAATGGCCATTTTTCTGGCCTAATACACTACTAGTCAAATCCTTTAACCTACGCCCCAAAAGAAGCCCCACTTTTGGCTTTGAAAGTGGGTTCTGCTGCCATCTATAGTCTCAGAATATATATATATATATTCAGAATATATACTGAATATATATGTATATATACATATATACATATATACATATATGTGTATATATACATATATACATATATATATATACATATATGTATATATGTATATATACACACAGGTATGTTCTATGTAAAATATGGAAGTATCAGTAATTAGTATAGGTATTAAATGGCTTCTACAGAGCTTCATTTAGGTCTGTAACAGGCAAGTTGTAGATACCATCCTCTAAAGATGCTTTCCAGGCTCCCTGAGATAATTTCCAACAAATGAGGCTGGATACACCTTACCTACATTGCTAACTTTTGTCCCCTTATTTTTCTTTCAACTGGTTCCAATTATTCCAGCCCTTTTGCCCAAACTTATTGCCAGTTTTTGAGCTATTCTTAGCACAGTGAAGTTATACTATTCCTAAAAGGGGAAAATAACTAACAAAAAAAGGAACTTGGGGAGACACGATTAGTTTTAACCCTTACATTTTCAGTTCTACAAAAATATGGGAAGAGACTGGCCAAAAAAGGGAGGGGGGAAGTTTATGGCCACCATGTAGTCCCACATAAAGCTTTGAGCAACACAGTGCAAGTAATGAGTTTTAGTGGGTTATGCCCACTAAACTGCTTGACGCAGTGTTCACGCATCTATTAGATATTAGTTTATCTATTATTAGAAAATCGAAGCTTGAAGAGAATAACTTTATTCACTCCAATTGTGTAACTGAATTCACACTCTTGCTTTGATTCTCAGGTCAGACAAGAGCAACAGGAAGCACAAGTCTCATGTGTACCCACAGACCACTTATCACTAAAGACCTTAAATGTTTGAATAGTGTTTACAACAGCATTAAACTAACTGGAGGTGATATCGAATCCATGAATTTATAGTTTAGGGATCAGTAAACATCTTCAAAAAGGTGAACTATGACTCCAAATAACATATTCAGGGTGTTAAGAGGCTACTGAATTAAGAAGGAGTGTACTTACATCACTTGAAGAGACTGTTCCTGTTTCAACAGCAACACCGCTACCACGCAGTTTCTATTACAAAATAAATAACTTATTACTTAGTTTTGTTTTTAATTGTATCCTAATTTATCAGTGTATGAAAGGGAGCTAAGCAATTTTGTAATTTTTTCCTAATCCTACTTTAAATAGAGTATCAACAACTAATAAAAAGAATGAGGATGATAATGAAATATTCTAAGTAACATTACACTCATCCATGTAGTATTTTAATCAATATAGTATTAAAAGTGGAACAATAATAAGCTGAATGCTAATCTCCAACTAAATTTCATGAGCAAAGCTGGTATAAATTTCCAAGTCTCAGAATTTTCCTATTAAATTGTTTCTCTAATAACACAACTGTTTTAAGCTGAACTACATACACTATATTCTGTGCCAAGTCTTTGAAACAGGTGCCTGATGATGAGAAGATACAACACAGAATTTAAAATTTGGTTATCCACAGCAATACTAACAACTTATACTTAAAATCAAAATCTCATATGTCCTAGAGAAATGATCAAAGAAATGTTGAGGTAGAAAGTCAAAGGCTGAATATGCAAGAGAAAAGTGATAATAAATTTCTGAAAGGAAATTTTTATTTGTTTTATTCAGTAACTATTATCTACTGTCAGGCACGAGGCCCATGACCAAGTATAATACTCAATGTCGCTATAAGTTAAAGAACAAAATATCCAAACTTGCAACTAATCTGGACTTTTGAAAGGTTATTTCTATGAGAATTATGAAATTGTGATCCCTTTTATGAGAAAAAAAACACAACAAAGAGAGATCTTCCAGATATAGTCCTATCAAATGACATTTAAGCAAATAAAATTGCAAATAATCCTGTTTCATCCTTTAAACAGGAAGTCTGTAGTTTAATCCTAATAAAAAGCTATGGAAGAAGTGTCTGCCCACAGCAAAAGAGATAGTGCAATCCAGAACCTAGCAGAAGCAGTGACCAGACTCTGAGGAGCAAAGCCAGATTGGGCCTGGGTACCTTGAAGAGTCATTCTGTATGCAGAAGGACTTGCAAAGCAGAAATGCCACACCACAAATAAACAAAGCCAAAGACTCAGTGATAAAAGAATATGCTAGAAAGATACAGGAAGGTCTTTAAGAACACTAATCTGATACCAATTCTAAAAACTGTTTTAGACACTGAAATATTTGCTTCCAGTAGTGACAACAGAAATATTTCCTCCATTTGCTCAATAAGGTTGCAACCATAGTTAATCAATCTAAAAATGACAACACCTGAGACACAATATAAACATTATTCCTGTAAGGAAAAGTCTAAAATGAAACAACCCCAAATGTTAGTTGCAATCTACAAGTATACATTCTTTCCTGACAATTTTCATTTTATGAATTCAGCCACAATAGAGCCCCATTACGATTATACCATAAAGCTAACACTAAAGCAGAATGAAGTTTGCTCAAAGGAAGAAATTTAAAAAAAAAGGGGGGGGGATGCTTATCTAACTATAAGCATTTTGATCCCAAATGCTATACATTTAGAAATTGTAAGATATAATTTTCATGTTCTAAATATCTTGTTTTTGAATTACCTCACAAACTCACTAAAATCTGTAAATTTGTGACTCTGGTAAAAATACTTTTAAAAGCTAAGCCAGAAAGATTGTTAAAATATATGCTACTGACAAAAAATGCTTAGTTTTTTCAAAGTACACTTAAAATATCCCTATTTAAATATAAAAGCAATTAGGCTATCCCCCAAAAGGCAGGCAGTTTAAAGTCAACAAATCTAAGCAAAATGTCATCATGGTATCTCTCTTATGCTTCAAATGAAATTCTATAAAAATGAGTCACTAAAATTTAAGTGACAACTTTCCAAAAATGTATTTCAACTAGACATTTTTGTGTAATCTAACACTTACAACATAATAGCAATTAATATTACTTCTCCTGGCCCCACTCCTCCATGTCACCCATCCCAATACCAAAATCTCATTTTCTTCTCCCTTTTCTTCCCCAGAATACTCCTCCCCCACCCACCTTCTTTTCACTCCTTTTCTGATGAACATTTCCACCAAGTTTCCCCTTACCACCTAATACTGGAAGCCTAAAAGAAACACCACTGAGCCATCATAAGTATCCTGTCTTTCTGTACTAGAGAACCATGAAGACAAAAACAGAGAACTTGTCATTAAACCAGCAAGCTATTTCCTGCTTGGGGAAGTAGAGCTAGAGAGGTCTGAAAGCATCACAATGACCAATAAGCAGGCTTCACATTTAACCTTAGGCCTATGTTCCATCCCACAATGATACAGTGAAATACTGGTGAGTCACTGTGTGAGACTATTATCTCACACTTGGCCCAAGCAGGTCTACACTTACCCCAGAGCACCTGGAAAGTTGATATGGACTCTCGGTCGAGACTATAAAAAGTAGATTGACTGATGATCTGTAATGTGCTATTTACAGTTTGACACTCCCCTAGTGGCACCCAGAGCCAGTTTGTTTATTGATGTAACTAGTTAGGCAGCTTAGCCTGGTTAAGTGATTAACAAGATCCCACTAGAAACTTCTGGAGAGCTCTCCCAAAACCAGGATTTCTTTTACAAATATTGCTGGTCCAGAGTTCCAAGACACATGTGGGAGCTGTGCCTGGAAATCTCTCAGCCTCAAAGTTTGCCTTCCCACTCTCATAGTTTCTTTTCCTTTCTATAGGCCTTACATAAGTGTGCTCTTTGGAGTTGGGTGAACCCTTTCAGTTCTCCCACCTGTGTGATACTGCAGCCACCTGGAAAGAAGGTACTCCCTAACCACTGAAAAGCATAAACAGAGAATTGCAAGTGGCAGAAAGAACAGAAAAGGTTGAGCTGAAGCCAGTCGAAGAAAGAAAAACTAAAGCATACTACCATAACTAAGCAAGCTAAACTACTCTTTAGCAAGTTAAAAATGGCATTATTGTAATATATGACTTTTTTTGTAATTTCCCATAATTAAATAGTTGAAGAGAATATGAATGTTATTTATAATCCTTTCAAAGATACTAAAAGAACTGTCTTTTACCTGTGAACTCAGCTGAGTTTTTATCCAATTGAAATAGTAATTTAAGTCACTGCCTTCCATCAATTCTTTTCCCCAAGCTGCTAACTTGGCGATAATTCTTGCTGCCTAAAAAGTAAGAAATAATTTGAATACTGTATTAGTTCTAAAAATCACATCAATATGCCTTAAAACTCAGGACTCACAATCATTTCTGCTGCATTTTTTAGCACTCAACGCCTCCAAAAAAGTTATTATTTCATTTTAAAAAATACATTTTTAAATACAGTCAAAATATATTTTCAAATATTTCCAATTTTCCAATGAATTGAACCAAAATTAGTTGTTAAGAATTTCATGGCATTTTCTGTATTATTTTGAGTTTCAAAAGTAAGATTTGGATTCATCTGACCAGCAAAAATCAAAAGAACACAAAAGTCTTTCCTGTAGCAAACTTCACCAAATTACTTGCCAGTGTCCTGAGCAATCTCATTAACAAACTGTCAGCCAGTACCCTGCTCATTCCAAGCCACTTGTGAGTTTTCATTCCTGAAATTTTTTATCTTGGTACAAAGTATATCCTGGTGTTAAACAGACATCTCTCTTGATGTATAAAAATATACCTTTTTTTCCTCAAAGATTTCTCATTCTTCTTCAAGCTATAAAACTGATCATTTTTTATTAAATAGGTATCTTAAGTATATTAAATCATCTTGTACACTTTAAATATCTTACAACTTTGTGAAGTACACCTGAACGATAATTATACAATACAAATCTGAATATATATAAACATATATACATACACACACACAAAATAGGTCATACAAAATACTACTTCTCCACACACAAACCCAATTTTATATTTTTTGAAGATTTTATTTTTATTTTAAAGACTTTTATTTAAATAGACTTATAAATTAACAAATGTAATTTAATAACTTGAATAAATTAATAAATTCAATGAATAAATTTAATAAATTAAAGATTTTATTCATTTATTTTAGACAGAGAGGAAGTGAGGGAGAAAGAGAGGGAAGAAAACACCAATGTGTGATTGCCTCTCCCACACTCCTACTGGGAACCTGACCTGGCCCGCAAACCCAGTTATGAGCCCTGACTGGGAATCAAAACAGCAACCCTTTGGTTCACAGCCCTGTGCTCAATCCACTGAGCCACACAGGAGACAGCCAGGGCCTAATTTTATATTCTTTCAGTACTTTTTGAAAGCAAATCAGTGTCTCAAAACTCCAATAATTCAGCAATAATTAACCCTAGTAGAAAATGGAAGATTATTATCTAACCCCCAAATAATTCCTGTGTTGATGGACTGATATTCATTCTTATACTTGGATACAGCTGAACCAGGTAATGGAGACACATTTTCAAAGCTAGTATGTCAAGCATTCAAATGTCATGACAATATCTGGAATTCTGTACCATGGAGGGCTAACAGTAGCACCTCAACTAACTCACTAAGTTGACATATCAACATTCCCATGTGAATAACTAAGTGAATTTACAAATACATTATCTACTTTAAACTGAACTAACTTCTGCAAAATAAGATAAGTGACTTGAAAAGGTTCCTGTAAAGAAACCAGGATTGAAAATATTAGCACTCATGTAAGCACAGTCAAAATGGAAAGACAAAAAGGAGTAAGAGATCTGATTTTTTCTACTCCTAACATAAAGCTCCTTCATCAGCACATGATAAACCAATGATAATGTGACCCACAAAATTTAAAGATTAGCTAAAAGTAATTGAAATCATAAAGAAATCAAAACATGGATTTGACAACACAATTAGTAATGATGAACTTTACCCTAAATTTACATTTGGTCTTTAATATATTTGTCAATTTTATTATAAAACCATCAAAATTACCAGTGGGGGGCTCACAGGAAGCAACCACACATTGATGTTTCTCTCCCTCTCTTTCTCTTTCCCTTCTTTTCTCTTTAAAGAATAAATAAAATCTTAAAAAAAATAAAAAATAAATAAAACCATCAAAATTAGGAAGATATTTAAACCAGGTATCCAGACAGTAACAACAAGTCTCCACAATTTGAAAGAAGAAAATATACTATTGGTTTCTTTTAAATATTCTTTAAAATATAGTTTATTTCATGAGTCCTTTTTAATTTCTCTTTATAAATGCTTTATAATATATACATACATGAATACACTAGTACATAAATGAATATGGATATAAAAGGGGGAGAGAAAGAACATGCATACTCAAAAATTGTTTCACTGACAGTGTTTTTTTTATTTGAAAAACTTAGAGGCATCTACTGAAATGAGCGCCCTCAGGAGCTCTCCCCACCCCATAGCTCACTCCATGTTGGGAATAGAAAAGGCTTGGTCAAAGATTTGTGCTCTCACCCCTCCTCTCATACCTTCTCCACATACTCCTTAAAAGATCCATCAGCCCTGGCCAGGGGGCTCAGGTGGTACATAATCCTGTACACCAAAAAGTTGTGGGTTTGATTCCCAGTCAGGACACATACTTAGACTGAAGGTTGATCCCAGGTTGGGGCATGTACGGGAGGCAACCAATGGATCTTTCTTTTTTTCTTTCTCTTTCTCCCCGCCCCACACTTCCTCCCTCTCTGAAATCAATAAACATCCTCCTCAGGTGAGAATATATTTAAAAAAAAAGATTCTGCAGTGTTAAGGCTTCTAAAGATAGCTTTTCAGGCTAAGTTTAAAACAGGGCCCTGGCTGATATAGCTCAGATTGAGCACCGGCCTGTGAACCAAAGGGTCTCTGGTTCAATTCCCAGTCAGGGCACGTGCCTGGGTTGAGGGCCAGGTCCCCAAGGAGCAACAGGCAACTACATACTGATGTTTCTCTCCCTCTCGTTCTCCTTCCCTTCCCCCCTCTCTAAAAGTAAATAAATAAAATCTTTAAAATAAATGAATAAACAAAATGGTAGCATATCTAAGATATTAAAAAACAATTGCTTAATTAAAATAAAATTAAATATAATACCTGCTTTAAAGCAAAATTCTGTTAATTCTGTCATAGATATCCAGAGCTATTTGCACATGTGAATTACAAGGCTTTTATGCTAATGACTCACTCATCATTATACTCCACAAAACTTCAACTGTATCAGGGCAACCCTATCTCTTCTCTCTTCCCCACGTCCTCACATTATTAAACACCAATAAAGAAAACACTGCTTTGAAAAGCTAACACCACAGCAGTTACTACCCTACGAACTGGGAGGTCACCATGTTATAAATGGCCCAGGTAAGTCTGTGCCCTAAATCAAACATTTGATCAATTCGAAACTTACCATGTGAACAGTAAAGAGATCCTGGCGATTTAACATTGGCAGAAAATAGGACCAGGCAGTGTTCTTGCTCCGTTTAGCATAGTCAAAGAAAATGCTAACACGCTGATGATTTTCCTAAAAAAGAAAAGGAATGATATCACTAATCCAATTTTCCTAAAGAATGTAACAACTGTGCACTGCTTCTCAATCCTCGTTTATGCCCCATCAATCCATGTGTTCTCTTTTTCCAGTGTGTATGAGAATTTCCTCTCTGTTGTTACGGGGCAGGAGGACGGGATGGGTGTGGGGATATTTTAAAAATAAAATAACCTTTAATTACTATGATTAGTTTAATTCAAGTGAGCCAAGATAACAGATCCCAGCCCTGCAAGGTGTAGCAGTTTAAGTTAATTTCTTCTCAGCCCGAACGTCTGACCTGCCCTTCTCCACGTTGTTCTCAACACCTCTAACCTACTTCCACACAAACAAAATAGGAAAAGGGCAGAAAGATCACAAAGCTCTAGATGGAAGGATCAGCAGGAAGAACCTCAAGCTGTGTACAAGTAGGCAAGGGAAACAGGAAATTAGAGAAATCTCTAATGTTCCAAATTATTCTTAGTATATTATGACAGAAAAATCAGGGCAGATAAGGACAGTCAAAAACAGTGTATCACACTAGCAGGTGGATTCAGAAAATGAGAACAATTACTTCTTAATTCAAATGATGGAAACTTTACCTCTCACCTAAATTTTCTCTGCATGTTACTAGTTGAAAACTACTTTCTGGTTGCAGGTGTGATCAGGGAACAAGCCTGGTAAGGACTTGTGCAGGAGGCAACCCATCAATGTTTCTCTCTCTCCCCATCCTCTCACTCTAAAATCAATACAAACTATCCTCAGGTGAGGAACAAATGAATAAATGAGTAAATACATACCCCAAACACAATACGCTGACTACATACCCTCAGTTTAAAAACTCCACAAAACACACACTGAACTCTAGATAAAAGGCTTCACATTTAGGTAAGTCAAAAAACTTCTTTGTATTATAGAGTAGAATAAATGAGTTAATAGATGAAGAATAAGAGGATCTCACAATCTCACTGTGTCAGAAGAGATTACAAGTATGGAAAGGCTAGAATAAAGTCTGTAGTATTGAGCTGAAATGAAATTGGGGGGAGTGTAAACTCATGGTTTTTAATTTACAGATATATGTTTATGTATAAAAATTGAGGATACTTGTGTATGTGCATTTTGTGTGTGTTATGTGTATATGACATAAATAAAACTAAGGTCTGCACTCCAACTCAGAGCCTCCTGTTCTAGGTGTAGTTCTAGGTGAGCCAGGACAGCCAAGGAGAATGGCAACATTCTCCATTTTTTCTTAACTTTACTTTTTTAAAGGAAAAAGTGCTAGGAGGGGCAAGGTCATTCTCAGATAGGCCTGCATCATCTGCTGGATATCAATCCTTACTCACATTATAAAATCACTACATTCCTGTGATGACATGATGGCCCCTAGGTAGCCAGCCCTATTTTTCCTAACCTTTGTATCATCAATCATAGTACAGTGCTCGGCACATAGTAGGCCATCAATAAACATTTTTCCTTGTAAACTGACAGAATGACCCCAAATCAACCAGACTGACACTCTTCTTCAATCTCCTAAGACATGTAGATAGGCACTGGATTTAGCAGCCAGACAGCCTATTTCATAAAGACCTACTCTATTTACCAACAATTTAAACCTAGATTATATACACTCTGCCCTAAAATAAAAAAAACTGTAAATAAAGAAGGCCCCTCTGTGTTCAGGGACACTAGGCAGTAAGTAGAAACTCTACACAACTAGAAAAGTCTCAGACAATTAGCAAAACATTCTCCAAAGAAACACTGCTTTTGATAGCAAGCATCTTGCCTACATTCAACACTGAAGACCCCATGCCTCACACTGGCCTGGATTATAGGAACAAAGAAATCTGCTGAATGACTGAAAAGTGAAGGAGCCATATCATCTATTAAGTACACAGAGCATCTGGAAAGCTTCAAACAAGTCCCCAAACACTGCTGGTGTTAACAAAGAACTCTGAGTGTGTTGTGAGAAAGAAAAATACCTTTGGATTACTTGCTACACTGAAAAACAACAAAAGCAGCCAGTATGTGGGCATTCCCATCTTTACCACTATTAGCAAATTACACCTCATGTAATGAAGAAAAATATATTAATACACCCTGGAAGAGAACCAGTGCTATAAGTGAAACCTTACAAAAATGTTACTGGACAGTACACAAAAAGATAAAGTCATCAAATGTATTAAGCAAAAAATATACCTACCTGCAACATATCATCAACCATAGTTAGTATGTACTGAACTGTCTGTTCTTTGGAGATATGAGTCATCAGATTTATAAATGTTTTGGCACACTAGAAAAAAATGAAATCAATGTTAATTATTGTTTTCAACTACAAACACAATATATTAATGGAATTTCAGTTTAACACGGGCATTGGCAAAAGTAGGTTTACAGTTGTTCATTTGGTCAATAATAATAAATAATAATATAAGAATAAATTGTGCTTCATGTACTCACAACTGTAAAGCTAGTTCTGCCCACCCTTGTATTTTGCTTGCCTAAATTAGGATACAATTGCTGTTCACTAAGAGATTTCATTACAAAAAGATGTGTAGCTATTATGAATACTGTGATGAAGTATGTGAGGACCCCACTATGTCTTGCATCAGATTTTTGCTCATTTCTAGTGATAAATTTCAAAATGTTTACTATTTTTAAGCAAACAGGGCTAGCAACTATTAACTTTTAATTACCCGTGATAACATAAAGGTTAAATTATGTAGACAATCAAATATTATTATTGGTCTAATTTGTGGGAAACAGGTACTTACTAGAAAGCAGAACAGAAGCAGAACAACAAGGGCACTGGGAATTGGAATCAGAATAAAACAGGAACAGAACCACAGAAATGAAGATCACATGGAGGGTTAGCAACAGGGGATTGGGAGGAGGTGCAGAGAGTAAGTAGCATAGGTGGTAGACAGAAAATAGACAGGGGGGTGGACAAGAATAGTATGAGAAATGTAAAAGCTAAAGAACTTATATGTACAACCCATGGACATGAACTAACGGGTAGCATGTGGGTGGGAGAGGGTGTGCAGGGGGGAGGGGAATGAAGGGGGGAAATGGAACAACTATAATAGCATAATCAATAAATTTATTTTAAAAAAGAAAGTTTTGACCTATCTCCATTCTTCAAGTTATCAACTATGTTACAGTCTCTCTGGAATTCAACAAAAACTGGCGCCAACAATACATTTTCTTCCCAAATTTCCCAGGACACAGAATGACAAATGGCTGTGAGAATCAGACTAAGTTGTATTATGAGCTCCTTTAGCCAACAGGGTCCCATATAAGAAAATCTGATGGATAGCGAAACTGCTTATTATTCTAGTAAGAATACAAATTAAAAATTTTTTCCACAAAAAAAAGTTCAACACCTTTAAAAGTGTTGATACATATTTTGAAACAGTCATTTCCCTTCTAAGACTCTCTTCTAAGATTTTCAGAAATGCAGAAAAGGATAAAAGAATAAACATAACATAACTTTTTTCCCCAAAATTAGCAAAAAAAAACTGGAAAACACTCAAAACCTCTTTCAATAAAAAAGGATTTGTAGTTAAATTTCAATGCACACCCACAACAGAATATCATACAGTAATTAGAAAACATTTCTAGAGTGTTTAATGATATGGGAAGTGTTCATAATACAGTATTTTCATCAAGCACCTGACTGCCTTCAGTTTGAAGCATCTCTTGCTTCTCCTCAGGACTTCTTTTCATTTCAAACCTTTGAATGAATTCACAATCTTCAGCAGAAATCATCTGTCCCCTAGAAATTAAGAATAAGTTGTTTTTGTTCAGTAAGAGTTGAATAACCCCTGTAAGCAAGTGATGCAGAAATTTCAGTCTTTCTCCTCTCTCCTTAGTAAACCATGAGGCTTGATTCATGGGCCCTGACATCAAACAGACCTGAGTTCAATGCCCAGCTCCACCACTTACACATCATGTGACCTCTCTGGACTTGAGCTAATTCATCTGCAAAATAGCAACAATACACACATTGTTTTTAAGGGGTTAAACTGAGGATGAAATTACACAATTCAGATGAAGTGGTCAACACAGTGCCTGGCCCATAGTATGCATGCAATAACATGGCACCTCTTAGCACTACCCAAAGCCCCACCTTTATTCCCCTCCCAAGCTAAGCAATTCACTTGGCCTTCTAATTTGTCAAGACTAAAGACACTTTACATGAACTCCTACGATTATTTTCTCCAGGATACTCTTTTCCTACAGACTCTGAGTCAATCAGACTCAGAATTTGAGTCAATCTGGGGAAGCATTCCAATCCAGTTGTGAAATTTTGGCAGTTCACTACCTCTCTGATCACTATTTTCCACACCAGTGAAAAGGATATTACAATACTACCTGCCCTACTCCATGAGAACACACAAGGAAAAACACTTGGTGTGTATAAGCATGGAATAAAAACACATTTAGTATTTAAAAACTTTCTGTAGTATGCTTTGTCATTCAAACAGAATCAATGTATTGTTTTTACTCAGTGGTTTAAAAAGCTGCCCCCAGAGTAAGTTGAGGGACTAGTGTTGAATGAAACCCAACCAGGGAAACACTGAATTTGAAGCAGGCTTCCCAAAATGCATAATTATAGAAGTGTGGTCCTTTTTCAGAGCTGTCTCGGGTTAGGTTCCTAGTGGCAGCAGGCCGCGAGATGAGGATTAGTGTGCAGGTTGTCTGTGAAGAGAGTGCTCCCAGGAGGGCCAGGGATGCAGTGTGGGACATGCTGCACTGAAACAAGAGCAGTCAGAGTTCAGGCAAAATCCTAAAGGAAAGCTTCCCTAAGTGCACCGGAGAATTTGAGAAGGTGAGCTGTCCCCTTCCCAAAAGAAGAAAGCTGAATTTTCACACTTCCTGCCACTCCTACACACAACCACACCCCTCCTCCAAAGATGATCTTGACTTTCTGTATTCAAAGTCTCAGTATTTTACTTTTTATCCCTTCTGGGTTTTGTAAACACTATTACTAGACAGTGAATTATTTTCTATATTTTTTAATTTGCCTCTGGACTTCATTAATTCCATTTTTAAGCACTATAACTTTGTTTTCATATATGTTCCTTTATTTAACATGACTTTTTAAAAAACTATTCTCATGCATTGATTTTTCCAACAATCCCTTCTCTACCAACCCAAAGGAGTATTTTCAGTCCTTGTCTTTCTAGAGCCCAGAGGCCAGAGATGATGTGGCCACACCTGACACTCTCTTGCTTAACTTCTGGATTCTTCTCATCTTCCTCAGGCCACTTCTCCTCAGTTCTCTTCACCTACTTCTCACCTCCTCCCTGTGTTCAGGCTCTGTGGGAAACTCTCCTCATTTTTCACTCCATGGATTCTCAAATGCTCCCCTCTACTCTCTGCACTGCTACCTCACAGTCTGAGCTCCAGGTCAACCTCCTGCAGTCCTCCTCCACGTGTGTGTATTGAACCTCTCCTCCCACAGGTTAACACAGGCATTCCAGATCCCACAGGGGCAGAAATAAGGTCACTAACATACACATATCTTTATACCCACTCCAACCGCAGCCTAATGGGAAAATGGAAGCAAAAAAAGATACACTTTGTCCTGTTGCCACTGTGGCTAAGAATGTCATATACCACTAGAGACAAAATGCATTCAGCACCCTGGAACAAAGATAACAGGGTCATCCTGTCTGGTTCTGGCCTCAAAATAAACGAAGTGTCCCCAAAAAACTGAACTCCCTAGCTTAAATGATTTTACCCCCAAGTTTTGCTGTACTAATCTATTAAAGCACATCAAAACCTTTGTAAATAGGGTAAGTATGTGAAAGAGATGCAGTTTTTCTACCATTAAGTAAGTATGTATTATACTTGGTACTCTTACAATTTTTCTTTTTTCTTTCCCATTTAAGTAATTGTTCGTATTTGGCAAGACATTCCTTCTGAAGTCAGAGCTCATTGCATTTGTTGCAAGAAACCTTTTTTATTTTGTTTCAAATCTTTTCTCTTGAATGTAGCAGGTTAGGGGCTCTGCTCCCTTCTCTAGCAACCACCAGTCCTAACAATTCTTCTACCTAATGTCATTTTTCTCAACTTCCCTGCCTCTAGAGTAGTCCTCCAAAGCATTTCCCTGCTTCTAATCCAACCTTCCTCCACACCTCTCTTACCTTATACCAGACAACTTTCTCAAGCACACATATGACCATATCACACCTTTCATATCAGTCAGACTGTGAATTTGAAATGGCACCTCTACCTAGCACTCAGGCAGAGGCATTCAATAAAAACTGTTTTAATCACTTGACTAAGTAAAACCCATATAAGCAGGTACATGTTATTTATCCTATCTGAAAAGCTTTCTCCTCATCTTTAAAATAAAGAAAGAAAAAACTTATGACACAGTATTACAATAAAAATTATGTGAAACAGTATGTTACTTACCAAGAATGTTACTTCCTCTTCCAAACACTAATCTCCACCACTTTACAACAAATACTCTGCTCATTCATGATTTAATCAGCCAATATTAATTGAGAGCCTACTTTGTGCCCAACACATTTAAGAACAGGCAACTTAGTTATGAATCAGGCATCCCTCTTTTGAGCTTGCATGCCAGTGGGGAAAACAGAAAATAGACAAAGACAGAAATAAATACTTTTAAAAATACACACTCACATACACACCACCATAATGCCAGGATTGTAAATGCTATGAAAAAAAAAATCTAAGGCCAGGTAAGGAGTTAGATAGTGATATATTTTAGCTGAATTTCAGAGAAAGCCTTACTGAAGTCATCTGCACAGAAACCTGAATGAAGTGACTTAACAAGCCAAGTGATCTGAGGGGAGACAGAAATGGAAGTCCAAAGACCTTGGGGCAGCAATAAGCTTCCTATGTGAAAAACAGCAAGAACATCAGAGTAGCTAGAGGACTGTGAGCTATGTAGCATAATCTCTTTGATTAATATTTTTTAAAATGACTGCCATCGCACAGCTATGTACAGAATTGCTGCTATGGGGAAATGTAAGAGACCAGTTTGTCTTGGCCCGGCAAATGTGACTCAGCTCTGTATGGAAAACCTACAGATGCAACGTGGTGGGCAGGAGCCAGAGCTTCAAACTGAGTTTTCCCATGGGAATCAGGCCTAGAAAATGCATACAGATTGTTATGGCTTGCTCTTGCTAAAACTCCATCACCCTGGTCTAAAACAACAAATGTGTACTGTCTATCTTCAAGGTAATATCCGAAACCTATATGAGTTCTCCCAAGGACAGAGCTAATGAGCTCATTGTCATTCCCCTTTGCATGTTACTTTTATTTCCTTGATTGTACCTAGAATGTAGACAATAATATTCTATGTGATAGATAATAAATCTTTCTATGATGTAAGACCCCAAGAAAACAATAAAAGCCTATATAGGCAAGGGTTGGGGTGCTCCCCTCTTGAGGGAGTGGCTGAGGCACCATAGGCACTCTCCCCTTGAGAGTGTAGTCGCACTGCTGCCTTTTTCCACACAGGATTGTTGTCGCCTGTGCAATGATTCTCGTCCAACCACGACAGGCAGACTCCGCTGGACAGAGTCTGCAACAGGGGAACAGTTAAAGCAGAGCTGCCAGATGAAAGTCTCTAACTCTAACAAGAGAGCACGTAAAATGAGATGACAGCCTGCACTAGGGCAGTAGCCATGGTGGAACTGGAAAAAAGTGGTCAGATCTAGGACCTGTATCAGACATAGGACTAAATGAATTTGTTAATATATGGGATATAGATTGTGAGGGAAAGATAAGAGTCAAGATGACTCTTAAGTTTTTCATCTATGAAAACGGTGAATGAAAGCACCGCAAACTGGCCTGCAGCAGCCTGCAGGGAGCCACACCACACTACCTAAAGCTCTCCCTCCAGCACTGCATGTTCTTCCAAGTCTCAGCATCCTGCGTGGAGTTTCCTTCACAGCAGCCCACAGAATTTCTGCTTAGACAACTCCTACAATTATCTTTGTGTGTCCTGCAAAGATATCACCAATGCCTCCAGGTAATTATGTGCTCACTCCTTCTATTGTCTGAGAAAACTTTAAATATACCTCCATTTTAATGCTTTCCATAAGTATTAATTTTTTAGTTAAAAGTTTGTTTCCTTCTTGGCTGATAGAACTCAATGGACTGGGCGCAGGCTTGCGAACCAAAGGACTGCTCATTAGACTCCCAGTCAGGGCACATGACTGGGTTGCAGGTCAGGTCTCCAGTGGGGGACATGTAAGAGGCAACCACACATTGCTATTTCTTTCTCTCCTTCTCTTTCTCCTTCCCTTCCCCTCTCTCTAAAAATAAATAAATAAAATTTTTTAAAAAGTTTTTTTCTTTATCAAACTTTAAACTCAAGAAAGAGCCCTGGCTGGTGTAGCTCGGTGGATTGAGCACAGGCCTGCGAACCAGACAATCACGGTTCAATTCCCAGGGCACATGCCTAGGTTGCAGGCCAGTTCCCGGCAGGCCAGTTCCCGGCAGGCCGGTTCCCAGCAGGGGACGCACAAAAGGCAACCATACATTGATGTTTCTCTCCCTCTCTCCTTCCCTTCCCCTCTAAAGATAAATAAATAAAATCTTTAAAAAATAAATAAACTCAAGAGAAAGTACAATATTTTATGATTCTCATATCCTCAGGATATAGTTTTACTAAATTCCAGTTTGACTGAAATACAGCCACACCCATTCACTTATGCACTGTCTATGTGGATTATAAAGAAAAGGTTCAATTAAATATAAATAAATTTTTAAAACACTGCATTTTCATAAGAATATAATTTGTGAGGAATAAAACATTCTTAGCCTTTGACATTGAGGAACTCTTCCACAGGTTTTATCAGAATATAAGGGGATATAAAATTCACTGATAATTCATGTGTCCTGTCCAGCCTCTAAAAATCTGTAAGCTCTTTTAAGGGAAACACATTTCACGCCCACAACCAACAGCTTAACAGCAGGCACAGAGTTAACATTTGTGCAAAGACACAACAAAACAAAGAGGTTTTATAAAAGAAATTCATGAGATGGACAACTGAATAAAGGGCAGAAATAGGAAAAAGAGAGAATACAACTTATATAGTAAGGAGGTCTTGAAACGGGAGGAACAGAAGAGAAAGCAATTAAAAATCTCCATCTAAAAAAAAATGTTCCAACTTCTTCTACTTCTTCCAGTCAGCCAGTGCTTTATGATCAGTAACAATATTGTTCTATTTAGGTTATAAACAGAATCAGGTTTTATAAACACGAAACTCTTTGTACTCTAGTCTGAATACACTCTGCACTAACATTAGGACAAAGAGCTCACAATCCTAATTTCACACATACAGATGAACAAAGAAAACATCAGAAAGTCCCTCCTCCTGCTTCCCTGGAGTTGGTGGGTTCACAATAATTCATTCCCTTTGGGGAATCCAGAAGTAATCCCAGATTATTTTCACCTTCACACATCAAATCAATCAATAAGACATTCTCACATCTATTCAATTCTATCCATTCCAACAACCTGAATACTGCTATTGCCTCTCCCTAGTTCTAGGCTTGTTATCCATCTATCCTCTACACTGTCAGTACAACAATCCAACCAAAAGACAAATCTGATCATCTAACTCCCACTTTACAAACTTCAGTTGTTTCTATTACCTACAACAGTAATTTTAAAACTGTGCTTCTTGGGCCCAGAAACACATCCCTACATACATGGTCAGCTGATTTTCAACAAGGGTGCCAAGAACACACAATGGGTTAAAGATAGTATCTTCAATATACCATTGTAGGCAAATTGGACAGCCACATGCAAAAGAATAAAATTGGACCCTAATCTTATCCCATACACAGAAATCAACTCAAAACAGATTAAAGAAAAATGTAAAACCTGAAATAGTAAAACTCCTAGGAGAAAACACAGGGAAAAAGCTTCTTGCCATTGGCATTGGCAATGATTTCTTGGGTATGATACCAAAAGTAGAGACAACAAAGCAAAAATAAAAACATGGAAGTACATCAAACGAAAAAGCTCCTGCACAGCGAAAGAAGAAATGAACACAATAAAATGACATTATTTGGAATGGGAGAAAATATTTGCAAACCATGTATCTGATAAGAGGTAATATTAAAACTATATAAAAAACTCATATAACTTAATAACAACAACAAAACAAGCTGTTGAATGGGTACATGAAAATATATTCAATCATCAGGAAAATGCAAGTCAAAACCACAATGAGCTACCACCTTATACCTGTTAGGATGGCTATTATCAAAAAAAGAAAAGATATCAAGTGTTTTTCAAAGCTGTACAGAAAAGGGAACAGTTGCTGCCCTGGCTGGTGTAGCTCAGTGGACTGAGCTCAGGCCTGCGAACCACACGATCGCGGTTCAATTCCGAGCTGGGGCACAAGCCTGAGTTGCAGGCCAGTTCCCAGCAGGGACTCATGAGAAGCAACCACACACTGATATTTCTCTACTTCTCTCCTTCCCTTCCCCTCTAAAGATAAATAAATAAATAAGATATTTTTAAAAAGGGGGAAACCATTGTGCACTGCTGGTGAGAATATAAATTGATGCAGTCACAATGGAAAACAGTATGGAGGCTACTAAAAAATTAAAAATAAAATTATCATGTGATCCAGCAATCCTACTTCTGGGTATATATCCAAAGGAACTGAAATCTGGACCTCAAAGAGATATTTGCGTTCCATGTACTTGACAGCCTTCCTCACCATAGTCAAGGTATGAAAACCACCTAAGTAAGTGTCCATGGGTGGACAAAAGGGTAAGGAGTATGTGGTATTTACATACAGTGAAATATTACCCAGTCTTTTAAAAAATATTTTTTTATTTATTTTTAGAGAGGGGGAAGGGAAGGAGAAAGTGGGAGAGAAACATCTGCTGGACAGTGGTTGCCTCTTATGTGTCCCCTACTGGGGACCTGGCCTGCAACCCAGGCATGTACCCCGACTGGGAATTGAACCAGCGACCCCTTGCTTCACAGGCCAGTGCTCAATCCACTGAGCTACAACAGCCAGGGCTTATCCAGTCTTTAAAAAAAAAAAAAAAGAATGAAATCCTGTCATTTCCTACAACATGAATGTACCTGGGAGACATTATGCTAAGTAAAATAAGCCAGACACAAAAGAACAAACACTACACGATCCTATTTATAAGAATAGTCTAAAATAGTAGACTGGTGGTTGCTGGGGGCTGGCAGGAGGGAGAAATAAAGAGGTATTAATCAAGGATACAAAGTTTCACTTGTATAAGTCCTACAGAGCTAATGTATGTCACAGTGCCTATAGTTAATAATATTGTATTGTATGCTTAAACATTTGCTAACAGGACAGATCTTATGTTAAGTGTTCTTATCACAAAGTAAAGTAAAATAAAATAAAGAAGGTGGGAGGAAACTTTTGCAGACGATGAATATGCCTAAGGTATAGATTGTGGTAATGGTTTTATGAGTGTACACTTATCTCCAAACTCATCAAGTCATTTTATCTTAAACGTGTACAGGTTTGTATATATCAATCACAACTCAATAAAGTGATTTCAAAACAACCCTGCTCCTTGGAACCCTAATGAGGATGGTGAATGATCTCAAAAGGAGGCTCTGAGATGTACAGTCCCACCTCCATTCAACAATCATTTTCATCTGTTTTACAGGCAGAGCTTCTTTATTGGACTTCATGTCAACCATGGGATTCACAGCTTAGTAATCACCTTGCAAAGCACTTACTGACAGAATCAAGTCCAAACTCCTTCCAGTGGCACATAGGACCTTCATAATCGGCTTCTGGCTGCCTCTCCAGCCTCATTCCATTGCCTGCCTCCAAAACATGTATTATTCCCCATTCAGAATGCTGTTTTTAATTCCCTACCTTTGAACATCCCCTTCAGGAAAACTTCCTATAGGTAGGATCAGCTCTTCTTTTTTGGGGGCACTCATCATTCCCTGTGTACTTTTCTACAATCGGAGTCAACATGCTGAATTAAAATGAACTCTTTATACATCTGACTTCCCTACTAAATTATGAGTTTACCTTTTTGTAGCCAAAAAGCCTGGGGAAATGTTTCAGATTTGGTAGGCAGTCAATAAACATTAGATAAGTGACATTAACAGAAATAAATAATTCATATCGTGTATATCCTTCTTACACCAAAGCAAACTATTAAGTATAAAACTAAAGATTCTTCAACTTTTTTCAAAATTTATATGCAAATCTGAATTTTATTAATAACTCACCTTTATATCAAAATAGATATGAAATAAAGTCAATAGGATAAAATACAGTTAAGAATAAATGAACACATTACAGATAAATACAGAACACCAGCATGCTAAATCATAATATACACAAGAAGGAAGGGAAAAAAACTGAAATTTATCAGGAGGATATTCTACATGCTAATGCTTGTGTTCAACTTTAAATATGTTATTTTGCCAGGGAGGAAATCCTGTCATATATGTATCCCCATTTCACATTTACTTTAATCAGCCTCAGAGAAAAGATTTGCCTAAGATCACCAAACTAGTAGACAGAACCACAATGCCAATTCAAGTCTTGAACTCAAATGTCTATGCCTTTTTTTTAGTTGTTTGAGCTATTCTGCAACACCACCCATCCCCACACTGATCACAAAGGCATACTGAGCTGGCGGCAGGCCCTGTACATTATCTTCTTCCTCCCTCCATAGTCTATTAACGCTTATCCCATGGTTTCCCACTCACTAGAAATGCACAACTATGAGCAGCTCTGCCTCCTCACCAGAGACACAAGCTGTTTCCACCACACTATCGCCCTATGACAGCTAATTATTCTAAGGAAGTTTTCTTCCACTTTTAGTAGTATTTTTCCAATATTTCTCTCATAGAAGCATGACCATGAGAAAGTCTGATCCAAAAGCACATGATTATCCATGATTCACAGCAAATCAGTACTTACTGCAGATAGGACTGCCAGTTCACTTTGTTTGCACGGACTTCTGCAGCCTTGGCAGCAATAATATTGGTTGGAACAGCAGCATCTACGGCACCCCGGATATCCATTTTGGTCATCTAAATTTTAAAATCTTGACTATTTTCCAACACACCTTCAATTTTGATGTAAGGTAAAACCAGAATACCAGGTGTTATTATTTTTTAATAACCACTACAATTATAAAGAATAATATAGTCATAGTCATTATCACCTTAATCTCTCCAGGCATTCCACATAAATATTAAATATCCTAAATATCAGTATCATTATATTGCAAATCTTGCCCAATTACACAGTGATCCATAAAAGTGTTTTCAACAGGTCTTTCCTAGAAAAGGTTTGTCTTAATCTCTGGCACAATACTGCAGTAAGATTTTTAAAGTAACCATTTAAGAAACTGACATCAGAAATTATGCTTAAATGAAAAGGCATATAAAAATAGGAAAATAATTAAAATATTTTAAGTATATACAATTGAGATCAACGTTCCTCTTCCGACAGAAAAAAACCTGTATAGTACCAATGGGAGCAACTATTTTATTACATTTACTAAGCGTCATTTTGAAGTGACTTTTGAAAAGCCTGTAATTCTTTCTAAAATTACTCATTTGAATTAATATAACAAAAGTGGGAATGTAATTTCATAGAAGACAGTTTTTCAACCAAAGTTCACAGTATTTTCAAAATCAATTTTAGAGAATTTTTGGAGCAAATACCAATTACCATTTAGGAACAACCAACGATGGAAGTATAGTTTGACAACAAGAACCTACAATTATGAGCTTTTAAGTAATTCTCACACCTAAATGAACAGATAAAAGTTTAAGCTTGATTTTATCATGACAGTAAACATAGAGAGGTTCCTTTTCATAAAATATAAGCTCATGGTTACAAAGCCACAAAAAAGGTAAAATTCTATTCCAGGATCCCAAAGACCTCAGTCAGTTTGGAACTTAATCTCTACATCTGAGGACTGCTGTCTAAACAAGCAAAACTGAGGAGGACTGGCAGGGCCCACGCAGAAGCTGGCTTATTCCGGCTCGAGCTGCCACCCTGGAACCAAGAAGACTCAGCCCCAATGGATCCTCCGGGGGAAGCTGGAGGTGTCTCAGGGCAGTTATCGAAGCCTCTGAACAACTCCAAGCTCCAGCAGGCCAGGGCCGTGGCCCAGTCCTGGGGAAAGCATACCTTTCACCCGTCCTCCTCCATTCCCAGCCTGCCCCTCACGTTCTCTGCCCCTGCGGGGAAGGCCTGCAGTTTCATAAACCCAGGAAAGGCCTGAAAGGAAAGACATTGGAACCCCGAACCGGGGAAGGGCTGGTGGGGCTAGAGCAGCGGGAAACCGGCACAGGTCAGGGAGGCCAGATAAACCGCAGGGGTGGCCTCACTGGGGCAGGTGCCTCGGACGAAACAACCTGAGGGAGTGCAGCCTTACTTCAGGAACCCTGGAGACCCCGACGCACCCAAAGCGGCAGAAAGGATGCGGTGGTCCTGGACGTCAGCGCCAAGGCAGAAAGTCTTCCGCAGGGTCTAGAAGTCTGAGCGCCGGCAAGAGACTCGGACGTCGAAAAGGGAAGCAATCCCACCACCTAATAGTCGTTGAGACTGGCACAGGCAGACGAAAGCCGGACGAGCCGCAGTTGAATGATTGAGGCGCTGGTCACGTGATCAGAGACGAGCGATTACCCGGAAGGCGGAAGCCGGAAGCCGGGAGCGTCCAAAACTCCCGGCCGAGGGACGGTGACCTTTGAGGGAGTTACTACAATCTAAGGCCTGGAGCCCTGCAACCCAGCGAACTAGCGACCCCTCACGCAGAGGCTCGGAGCACCAGCCAGGACTGGCCTGTACGCGTGGGAGGGTAAAGCGGAACGGGCACGTGGGAGCCCAGGGGGCCGTCCTGGTACTGCAGTACCCGCTGGAAGCACAGAGCAGGCCGAAATTCGTTTGTCTTAACCGGCGTTCTTTTGAAAAGTTTAATTCACTGTTTCTAAATAGATTGACTTTCATTTGGATTTAACAGCTCAGTAAAACAGGCGTTCTTATCTCTTTCATGAAGTTGGTCATAAAACTTATCTTGCCCTCCGGTTACAGGTTTAGCAAACAATGTATGTTCCATGCAACATTTACAATTTTACTTAAAAGTATATGTATATCGTGTTAAACTAAAATTCAAATATAACAGGGCACCCAGTATTTTAATCTGACAATCAGCTACCCTCTTTGAGTTATGTACTACCCTGCAGCTAGTGGTCAGGTGTATATAACAGCATATTTTTGTTATGATAAGCACTGAAAGAAATTTGTAAGCATAACCAAAACATTTCTACTACAAATGTTCAATTTAGGCCAAGGTTTAAAACAGTCAAAACCAATATTCCACATTGATTATTAATACCTATAATAATATATAATACTGCATTGTTTCTATTGCTGCTATAACAAATGACTACAAATTCCTGGCTTAAACCGACGCAAATCCTCTTACATGGGTCTTCACTGGGCTGTTTGCCAGGACGCAGTTCTTTGTGGAGGCTTTGGAGGAGAATCTAGGTCATTGCCTTCTCCAGTTTTTAGAGGCTGCCTGCATTCCTTGACTTATGACCTACTTCCTCTATCTTCAAGGTCAGCAATATGATAGCTTTCTACGCACACAGCTGGGAAGGGTTCTCTGATTTTTATGGGCTCATATAATTTAGATTGGCCCCACCTGAATAATCCTAGCAACTCTCCCCTTCTCAAACTTTTTCACTTTAATTACATCTGCAACCTTAGTTCCCTTTTGCAATGTAGATTAATGTTTTTACAGGTTCCAGAGGTTAGGACACAGGCCTATCACAAATACAAGGAAATATAACCACTAATTTAATATAAATAGTTGAGTAAAGATATCTATGTTATAGTTCTAAAGTAAAATTTTGAAAGAATTCTACCAAATATCGCAAAATATTGACTTTTCGAAATAACAGACTCATAGATATTCCTTATATTATTCTGCTTATTTGAATTTTTTAAGAAAATTGATGCTATGAGTTGAGTCCATTTATATGTGAAACTCTAGCCTAAATTAATGGACTTGCTTACCAAAAAATATTTGGAATTAGAATCAAATTGGAATGAGAATGAAAAAAAAGATTGCAGATACTAACCTTAATAATAGCTTAGTAAAATAACTTATTGGCCACAAAACTGCTCTCTTTAACTATAATATTTTAAACTTGGTACATGTTTCATAGGTCCTAGGAGAGGGGAAGTACTCCCTCAGGGGTCTTTGGAACTGTGTGGGATTTGGGGATTATTGCAATGACTAGAGATAGAGTGCTGCTGGCATTTGGTGCCCAGGGACTAGGAATTGTAAATGTTGGGTATGGACACTACCACAGTACCACACATAGACATTTTCCAGCTGAAAATGTCAGTACTGCTCCTGTGGAGAAAGTGGGTGGATGACTGTTCCTACCTGATTAATTTGTCATTCCAAATATGAAGACAGATTACATGCTATGGTGGGAACTATTCATCTTTACTACTACAGTATGATATCCCAATGAAGCATCCAACAGAAAATTAGGTCCTGCTGAAAAAAATATAAGTATCTACCCAAATGTTAAATGTGCACACTCCATAACCTGGAAGTAATCAGACTTCCAGGAATCTCTCCTGCAAAAATCAGTGTACAAGGGTTTTCAATGCAATATTTTTATGATAGCAAAGCAAAAATAGAAAACAACCTATATTTGTCATCTGAGGCTGGTGTAACAAAATACCATAGGCCAGGTGGTAAACAACATAAATTTATTTCTTGTAGTTCTGGAGGCTGGAAACCTGAAATTAAAAGTGCTGGCCATTTCAGTTCATGGTAAAGGCTCTCTTCCTGGCATGCTGATGGCCACACTCTCCTTGTGTCACATGGTGGAGAGAAAGTTCACAAGAGAACTCTCTCCTGTCTCTTCTTACAAGGACACTAATTCTGTTGGATCAAGACTCCAACCATATGACTTCACTTAACCTAAATAACTTCTATAAAAGTCTCATCTCCAAATGCAGTTACAGTGAGCATTGGGGCTTCTTCATATGCATTTTGAGGGAACATAAACATTCAGTCCATAGCACAACCCAAATTTAGTCCATTAACACACGAATAGAGAAAATAATATAATATCAGGCATTGAGGTATTATGCAACTGTTTAAAAAGAAATTATATAGAGCTTTGACTTCTGAAGCAAGCACAAATAACATGTACATAATATTTCTTTAAATCAATGTTTATATATGTGTATATACATAATTCTATAATGACAAACATCAAAGAGCTTTTGAACAACAGGTAACTGAAGGGAGTGAGTTGTGAAATACTGACTTTTGATTTTTCTGTGTAATTGAATGCATTTTAATCAGCGTTTATTACTTTTTACTGTAAAAATTGAAGACAATTCATAAGTAAGGTCATCTGAGCACAAAGTTTTCTTTGCAGGAGGGTTTTTTGGTTTGTTTTTTGACTAAATTTCAATGTCTATAACAGATATAATGATATTTAGGCTATCTATTTCTTTCTATTTTTTCTTTTATTTTTATTATTTTTAATTGTTCTTCAAGTACACTTTTCTGTCTTTCACTCCCATCCCAGCCCACCCACCCACCCCTTGCCCTTCTCTCCCATTTCCAACCCCCCCACCAGTTTTTGTCCCTGTGTCTTTTATACTTGTTCCTGTAAACCCTTCCCCTTTTCCCCTGAAATTCCCTCCCCTCTCTCCTCTGGACACTGTCAGCCAGTTCTCCATTCAGTCTCTTTGGTTATATTTTGCTTGTTTGATTGTTTTGTTCTTTAGGTTCCTGTTAAAGGTGAGATCATGTGCTACTTGTCCTTCACCGCCTGGCTTATTTCATTTAGCCTAATGATTTCCAGTTCAATTCATGCTGTTGTAAAGGGTAGAAGATCCTTCTTTCTTTCCCCTGCATAGAATTCCATTGTGTAAATGTACCATCGTTTTTGGATCCATTCATTTACTGATGGGCACCTAGGTTGCTTCCAGCACTTGGCTATTGTAAATTGTGCTACTGTAAACATTGGGATGCATAGGTTCTTTAAGATTGGTGTTTCAGGGTCCTTAGGATATAATCCTAGCAGTGGAATTGCTGGGTCAAAAAGCAGATCCATTTTTATTTTTCTGAGAAAATTCCATACTGTTTTCCATAGTGGTTGTACCAGTCTGCAATCCCACCAACAATGGATTAGGGTCCCCCTCTCTCCACAACCTGTCCAACACTTGTTTGTTGCTTTGGTTAGGATGGCCATTCTGACCACTGTAGAGTAGCATCTCTCTGATAGCTAGTGATATTGAGCATCTTTTCATGTGTCCCTGGATTTTCTGTATGTCCTCTTCAGAGAAATGTCTGTTCAAGTCCTTTGCCCACTTTTTAATTGGGTTGCTTGTCTTCTTAAAGTGGAATTGTGTAAGTTCTTTGTATGTTTTGGAGATTAAACCCATGTGTGAGGTATCATTGGCAAATATGTTTTCCCATATAGTTGGTTCTCTTTTTCTTTGAATACTGTTTCCTTTAGCCATGCAGAAGCTTTTTATTTTGATGAGGTCCTAGGACTTTAATGGTGTCATGGCTTATATTTAAGTCTTTTATCCACCTTGAATTTATTTTGGTGTATGATGCAAGTTGGTGCTCAAGTTTCACTTTTTTGCATGTAGCTGTCCAATTCCCCCAACACCATTTGTTGAAGAGACTATCTTTACTCCATTTTATGTTGCCGCCCCCTTTGTCGAATGGTAATTGACTGTAGAGACTTGGGTTTATTTCTGGGCTCTCTGTTCTGTTCCACTGGTCCATGTGTCTGTTTTTATGCCAGTACCAGGCTGTTTTGATTACAGTGGCCTTGTAACACAGTTTGGTATCAGATATTGTGATCCCTCCTACTTTGCTCTTCTTTCTCAAAATTGCAGCAGCTATTTGGGGTCATTTATGGTTTCATATAAATTTTTGAGGTGTTTGTTCTATGTCTCTGAAATATGCCATTGGTACTTTAATAGGTATTGCATTGAATCTGTAAATTGCTTTGGGTAGAATGCACATTTTGATGATGTTAATTCTTCTGATCCATGAACACAGTATATGTTTCCATTTGTTTGTGTCTTCCTTGATTTCTTTCTTCAGTGTTGTGTAGTTTTCTGCATACAGGTTTTTTACCTCCTTGGTTAGGTTTATTCCTAGGGATTTTATTTTTGTTTTTGCTACATCAAATGGGATTTTTTTCTTGATTTCTGCTTCTGCTGATTCATTGTTAGTATACAAAAATGCCTTTGATTTCTGGATATTGACTTTGAAACCCGCTGTTTTGCCAAATTTATTTATTAGTTCGAGCACTTTTTGGGTAGAGTCTGTAGGATTTTCCATGTACACTATCATGTCATCTACAAACAATGACAGTTTTGTTTCTTCCTTTTTGATTTGGATGCTTTTTATTTCCTTTTCTTGTCTGATCACTGGGGCTAGGACTTCCAATACTATATTGAATAGAAGTGGTGAAAGCGGACAGCCTTGTCTTGTTCCTGATCTTACTGGAAAAGATTTTAGTTTTTGCCCATTGAGTATGATGTTGGCTGTAGGTCTTTCATATATGGCCTTTATTATATTGAGGAATGCTCTCTCTATTCCCACTTTGCTGAGTGTTTTTATCATAAATGGGTGCTGTACCTTATCAAATGCTTTTTCTGCATCTATTGATATGATCATGTATTTTTTGTCTTTGCTTTTGTTTATGTGGTGTATTACATTTACTGATTTGCAAATGTTGAACCATCCTTGCATCCCTGGGATGAATCCCACTTGGTCATGGTGTATGATCTTTTTGATGCGTTGTTGGATGCGGTTTGCCAATATTTTGTTGAGGATTTTAGTGTCTATGTTCATCAGTGATATTGGCCTGAAGTTTTCTTTCTTTGTTATGTCTTTGTCTGGTTTTGGGATTAGGATGATGCTGGCTCCATAAAAAGAGTTTTGGAGTCTTCCATCATTTTGAATTTTTTCGAACAGTCTGTGAAGGATAGGGATTAGCTCTTCCTTAAATGTTTTGTAGAATTCTCCTGTGAAACCATCTTGTCCAGGGCTTTTGTGTGTCAGGAGTTTTTTTGATTACTGCTTCAATTTCTTCTGCTGTTATTGGTCTGTTCAGGCTCTCTGTTTTTTCTTCATTGAGTTCTGGAAGATTACATTTGTCTAGAAATTTGTCCATTTCACCTAGGTTTTCAAATTTCTTGGCATACAGTTCTTCATAGTAATTTCTTACAATCCTTTGTATTTCTGTGGTGTCAGTTGTAATCTCTCCTCTTTCATTTCTGATTGTGTTAATTTGGGTCTTCTCTCTTGTTTTTTTGATGAGCCTGCTTAAAAGCTTGTAAATTTTGTTTATCTTTTCAAAGAACCAACTCCTGGATTCACTGATCCTTAGAATTGTGCTTTTTGTCTCTATGTCATTCAGCTGTGCTCTAATCTTGGTTAATTCCTTTCTTCTACTTGCTCTGGGCCATCTTTGTTGTTGTTCCTCGAGTTCTTGCAGGCGTAGGGTTAGGTTGTTTGTTTGAAATGTTCCCCCCCCCTTTTTTTTTTTTTTGTAGGTAGGCCTGTATTGCTATTAACTTCCCTCTCAGGACTGCCTTTGCTATGTCCCATAAATTTGGAGTTGTTGTGAGTTCATTTTCACTTGTTTCCAGAAACTTTTTGATTTCTTCTCTAATTTCATTTCTGACCCATTCATTGTTTAATAGCATGCTATTCAATCTCCATGATTTTGAGTGTTTGGGGTTTTTTCCCTTTGGGTTGGTTTCCAGTTTTAGTCCCCTGTGGTCAGAGAAAATGCTTGGTATGATTTCAAATTTCTTGCATTTGTTGAGGCTTGTTTTGTGTCCTGACATGTGGTCTTTCTTTGAAAATGTTCCATGTGCATTAGAAAAGAATGTGCGTTTAGCTTCTTTGGGATGAAAGGCTCTATATATATCAGTTAAGTCCATTTCATCTAGGGCATTGTGCAATGCCACAGTATCTTTGTTGATATTTTGTTTGAAAGATCTGTCCATTTTTGACAGTGGGGTGTTAAAATCCCCTACTCTAATTGTGTTGCTGTCGATATCTTTCTTAAAGTCCTCTAAGATTTTCTTTATGTATTTGGGTGCTCCTACATTGGGTACATATATATTTACAATGTTTATGTCTTCTTGGTGGATTCTTTCCTTGAGTATTATTAAATGACCTTGTGGGTCTCTCTTCATGGCCCCTTTTTTGAAGTCTATTTTGTCTAATATTGCTGCCCCCGCTTTAGTTTCCTATCCATTTGCTTGGAAAATTTGTTTCCAGCCCTTCACTTTCAATCTGTATAGGTCTTTTATCCTGAGGTGGGTGTCTTGTAGGCAGCATATGCGTGGGTCATGATTTCTTATCCATTCAACTATTCTATGTCTTCTAATGGCCGCATTTAATCAGTTTACATTTAAGGTTATTATCGATAGGTATTTATTCATTGTCATTTCTGTACCTGTGTTCCTCTCTCTCTCTCTCTCTTTTTTCCTTCCTTTCCTTAAAGCAGTCCCTTTAGCATCTCTTGCAGAGCTGGTTTGTGGAGGTTTATTCTTTTAGACTTCTGTTGTCTGAAGAGCCCCTTATTTGGCCTTCTATCTTGTTTGAGTGCCTTGCTGGGTAAAGTAGCCTTGGTTGCAGGCCTCTGGTTCTCATTACTTGGAATATTTCTTGTCATTTCTTCTGGCTTGGAGCATTTCCATTGAGAAATCTGCTGCTAACCTTATTGGGGCTCCCTTGTTATTTCCTTTTTCTCTCTTGCTGCCTTTAAGATTCTCTCTTTGTCTTGGCATTTTGCTATTTTAATTATGATGTGTCCTGAAGTGGGCCTCTTTGGGTTCCTCTTGATTGGGACTCTCTGTGTTTCCTGGGTTTGTGTAACTTTTTCTCTCATCAAATTAGGACAGTTTTCCATCACTACTTTTTCAAACCGGTTTTCTATACCTTGCTCTTCTTCTTCTCCTTGCAGTATCCTTATTATATGGATATTATTATGTTCATAGTGTCTTACCTTTCTCTTAATCCCTCTTCATTCTTTCTGAGCTCCTTTTCCTTTTCTTGGTCTTTCTGGGTGTTTTTTTCTACTTTGTCTCCCATTCTCAGTGATCTGATCTTCTGCTTCATTAATCCTCCTTTTGATTCCTTCTACTGTGTTCTTTATTTCAGAAATTGTATTCATTTTCCCATTGGCCCCTGTTGATAGTTTCTTTTTCCTTTTTCATATTGGTATAGTTTGCAGTGAGTTCATTATAGTTTCCCTGTAGTTTCTGGTAATTCACTGTGAGCTCATGGAGCTTCCTGATAACCATTGCTTTGAACTCAATATCTGATAGATGAGTTGCCTCTATTTCATTTAGCATTCTTTCTGAGGCTTCCTCCTTTCCTTTCATTTGGTGATTGTTTCTTTGTCTTCCCATTATTTGTGAGACTCTTCTTGTTAGCCTCAGCTTCTTAAATTTATCTGTTCTGTCTCCCTGGGTTTATGGTGTGAACTTCTGTGGTAGAATACCTGTGGAATTTGGTGGTGCAGTCTCCTTTGTGTATCCTGGTGTTAACTGCTTCCACCTACACACCTTAAGGTGCTGAATCACAAAGCAGTTGGAACTACCTAGGCTATTTATTTTTAAGTAGTTTGATAGTTTACTCTCTAGTAAACTATTAAACTACTTCGATAGTTTATTTTGAAGAAATTTATCCATTTCAGCTAAATTTTCTAATTTACTATGATAAAGTTGTTCCTGATAATCCCTATTATTCATGTGATATCTATGGAATTAGTACTGAGGTTACCTTTCTCATTCCTAATATAGTTGCATGCTGCTTAATGATATTTCTGTCAACAATGGAACACATGTAACACAGTTATTTCATAAGATTATAATGGAGCTGAAAAATTCCTACCACCTAGTGATGCCATAGGCAAATAATGTAGTAGCACATGCCCTGGCGGTGTAGCTTAGTGGTTTGAGTGGGGGCCTGGGAACCAAGCAACCATGGTTCTATTCCTAGTCAGGGCACATGCCTGGGTTGCAGGCTGGTTCTCTGCAGGCCAATTCCCAGCAGGGGACTCACCAGAGGCAACCATACATTGATATTTCTCTCCTTCTCTCCTTCCCTTCCCCTCTAAAGATAAATAAATAAAATCTTCAAAAAAATAATGTAGTAGCACAGCACATTACTCAGGTGTTTGTGGTGATATTGGTATAAACAAATCTACTGTGCCTCCAGTCATATCAAAGTGTAGCTATACTATCTAGATTTGTGTAATTAAATTTTGTGATGTTCCCACTATGACAAAATCACCTAAGGCACATTTCTCAGAACACATCCCCATCTATATGTGGTACATGACTGTACTGGTAATTAGTAGTGTCTTCTCTCTTTTTCTGATCCATTTGGCTACAGGTTTATTGATTTTCTGGATCTCAAGAAACCAGCTTTCCATTTCATTGATTCTTTTCTCCATTTGATTTCTGCTTTCTATTTCATTAATTTTCACACTGATATTTATTATTTTTATAACACTTTATAAAACTCAGAATACATTGTTATTGTTTTTGCTTAAACAGTCTTTTAATGATACTTAAGTAATGTAGTCTCATAGTTATCATTTCCAGAGTTGTTTATTTCTTTGCGTATAGCCAGATTTGGGGATTTGGTTATCATTTTCCTCTGCCTGAAGGACTTCACTTAACATTTCTCATGGTTCAGATCTGCTGGTAAGAAAACCACTATAATTAGTTCTACATGACATGAATATAAAGTGTGATAATCCTCAACCTTAAGTTTGGGTGTGAATTTAGCATACATTTTTAGCCACAAAGCTGACTGGTACTGAAATGATGTTTTAAGAAATGTAAATAGATTTTCTCTGTTCTTCTCTAGCTTCATCTCAGTATCTCAGCTCACCTGGACTGTGCCCCTGAGCTAAGTTGGCAACATGAACAGCAACAACTTGGATGGGAATGATGACTTTGACGAGCAGTTGCGAATGCAAGAATTGTACGGAGACACTAAGGATGGAGACACCCAGGAAGATCTCAGTAGAGAAACTGATGCTTTTGGGCAGCAACCAGATGATACCCCCTACGAGTGGGATTTAGAGAAGAAGGGTTGGTTCCCCAAGATCACTGAAGATTTCATTGCTACATATCAAGCCAATTATGGCTTTTCTAATGATGGTGCATCTAGCTCTACTGCAAATGTACAAGATGTTAGTGTTAGGCCTACAGAAAAACCTCCACAAAGAAAAAACTCTGAATGCACTGACCCCCAAAATAAGGGAGAAAAGAGAAAGGCTGAATCAGGATGGTTTCATGTTGAAGAAGACAGAAATACAAATGTATATGTGTCTGGTTTGCCTCCAGACATTACAGTAGATGAATTTATACAGCTCATGTCCAAGTTTGGCATTATTATGAGAGATTCTCAAACAGAAGAATTTAAGGTCAAGCTCTACAAAGATAATCAGGGAAATCTTAAAGGAGATGGGCTTTGCTGTTATTTAAAGAGGGAATCTGTGGATCTTGCACTGAAACTTTTGGATGAAGATGAAATTAGAGGCTACAAATTACATGTCGAGGTAGCAAAGTTTCAGCTGAAGGGGGAATATGATGCCTCGAAGAAGAAGAAGAAGTGCAAGGACTACAAGAAAAAGCTGTTTCTGCAACAAAAGCAGTTGGATTGGCGACCTGAGAGAAGAGATGGGCCAACCCGAATGCGCCATGAGCGAGTTGTCATCATCAAAAATATGTTTCATCCTTTGGATTTTGAGGATGACCCATTGGTGCTGAATGAGGTCAGAGAAGATCTTCAAGTAGAGTGTTCAAAGTTTGGACAAATTAGGAAGCTCCTCCTCTTTGATAGACACCCAGATGGTGTGGCCTCTGTGTCCTTCAGGGATCCAGAGGAAGCTAATTATTGTATCCAAACCCTCAATGGACGATGGTTTGGTGGCCGTCAAATCACTGCCCAAGTGTGGGATGGAACTACAGATTATCAGGTGGAGGAGTCCACAAGAGAAAGGGAGGAAAGGCTGAAAGGATGGGAGGCTTTCCTCAATGCTCCTGATGCCAATAAAGGTCTTTGGTGTTCAAATTCCATCTGTATTTCAGAAAGGGCAGAGCCTTCTACAGCAAGGCATTTTTCAGAGCACCCTAACACATCTAAAAGGAATGCTAACAAAGCTGTAACTGAAATGGAATTTGAAGAACCTATACATGAAAAGAAGCTTGAAAAAACAGAAGATGGGGGAGAATTTGAAGAAGATGCCAAAGAGAGTGGCCACAGAAAAGAGGCTGAAGAAGGCTGCCCAAAAAGAGAGTTTAAAGACTACCTCGAAAGAGAGTCTGGACAAGGCAGTCCTAAAAAAGAGTTTGGAGAGAGTAGTCATGAAAAAGAGTCTAAAGTGAATTTCCCTGGAAGAGAATCCAAAACAAGGCAACACAGAAATGATTTTGAAGATAATGCCCTTGAAAAGGAGTCTGAAAAAGTTCATCCCAACAAGGAGTATGAAGAAGAGAATGGCCCCCAAAAAGAGTCTGAAAAAGATGAGTTGGAAATAGAATCTGAAGAAGACTGCTCTGAAAATCTGATTAAAGATGGCTTTGAAAAAGAATTTGAAGAAAATGGCCTCAAAAAGTGTTTAATGAGAGTGGGTATGGCAAGGAGTAATGAAAATGTTCTTGAAGAAGAGCCAGAAGAAAATGACTCTGAAAAATCAGAGTCATTTGAAAATGAAAACTCTGGAAAAGTGTTTGATGAAGGCTCTGAGAGAGAGTTTAATGATGAATCAGATGAAAAGAAAGAAGAGGAAGATAAATATAAAAAAGTTTGTGATGATAAGTCTGATAAAAAAGAGAATGAAGAAAATCCAGGTGAAAGGGGTCTTGAAGATGCTGATGTAAAGGAGGAAGATGATGCAGATGAAAAGATATTTGAATATTCAGATGAAAAAGAAGATGAAGTAGATGCAGAAGAGGAAGAGGAAGCTATAGATGAAAACACTTTCAAAGATGACAATTCCAATGAGAAGTCGTTTGATAATTCTGTCAAGAAAGGGACTGTGAGTGGTTTAGGAATGTTCAGGAAGTAGGAGCCCTGCATAGGCAGCAGCTTTATTCTCAGTTGCACTGATGATGATGATGTTTAATCCCTTAAATTTGCTTTTGAGAGAAATTCCTCCATCTACATTTTGCCAATGCTCCAGAGAAATTACTAGTACTGTTACATGAACATGTGCATAGCGGTAAGATACCATCAGATTAATGCATTGATGTTTTCATTGTTATGTGTATTTAGTGATTTTACTTAATAGTATAATGCAAGTAAACTGGATACTTGTCCTTTGTCAGATTGGTAAAATGCATGCAGAATGTTTTTTAAAGTATTCTAATTGAAGTTTGTGATATTAAAAAATGAAAATAAGTTGTTAATATGCAAAAGAAAAAGAAACCTAAATAAATTGGGCAGACCCTCTGCTTCTCAATAGCATAGCCCGATTGCCAAGTACTATTCCCTGCCACACACTGCTAGTACAGAATTCTGCCAAGCAATCTATTTCCTTTATCATTATATACTAAGCAATATATCATTTGAATAATTTCTTTCAGATTTGGTTTAGGATTAAATTTTAACTGGGAATACACTGCTACCTGTAGGGGGCAGTCGTAACATACCTAAACATTCAAAATAGGAGAACCTACCTGAAATAGAACACTAATGATCTGTGGATAAACTGCCATCCACAAAAGATAATCCTTTTGCTTAGATTAGTGTCACTTTCCAGGAAGGTCCCAAGGTGACTGACAGACAATTCACCAGTCAGCTAAACGAAGAGAAATAGACTGGACCTTGAGCTGGGGTTGTTAAACTCAAGCTATAGGACTCATTTGGAACCATTGCTGTAAAAACATGCCCAGGCTTTCCCAAGACAATCAAGAGTGCCTCCAGAAACATTTCTCCAGCCCATCCATGTGGAAGCAATGTCTGCCTCTGCCTAGGGCTGAGGGAAATAATGCAAACATTCACCAAACCACGAGAAAAGAAGAGAGCAGTAAAGCTGTGTGTGATATCAAGGTAAGACAATCTCCTCAATTCTTGATTCTTTCTTGACAAGGAAAGGGTTTATCCAGAGAGAATATAAAACCATAAGCAAACCTCAATGCCATTGCTCACTTTATCTTATTGATTTTATATCAAAATTGTTTTCAAATCAACCCCAAGAGAAACACTAGAATCTGGATGATAATTACCTGATCTGTCCAGTTTTCTCCAATCTAAACAACTTCCCTTTACCAAGACAAATGACTATTTATGTTTCATTTGTTTCATAAGATAATGTTTTAAAAAGCAGATGACTTTGACAAATTTTTTCAACCAGTACTATTAGCCATTGAATGTTTTTCTCTGATATAAAGATTATAACCTATGTAGTAATGAAAGAAAACTTATAGGCTGTTTTCTTCAAAACTTGCTAGAGAAAAAATTAATATACTAAGGAAGAAACATAAGAACATTAAGGAGCAAAGGGTTGTTTTTCCTAAAATCATAGTTTCCTAAAGTGAATTTCCTAAGCATAAATTTCTACCACTAGTTCACATTTCCCCAAAGAGAGACAGTGTTCCTACTTAGTGTTGTTTGTATCTTTGCAGAAAGTACCGTTTAAGTCTATAAATCCTCTTAACTATGAATAGAATATCTCTTAAAAGGTTATTTGGTGTGGTGGGGGATGGACATGGGTTAATGTCTACCAAATAATAAACAGAGCTCAGAACTAAATGCTGCAAAATCATTCAATAGCAAACCTGTCCAAATACTTTAACACTGAAAAATGTATCTGTCCCTGTGCAATGGCTCATATCTTGATAAGAGTCATTTATTTGCAAACTTTATTTAATCCTCTGGATCTACCCTTTCCCCCAATGTTATTTTAATTTTCACAGGAAGAATAAAAGTGTTTTATAATCATGAGGAAGACTTTTCTGTAGAAATGTACTGAGCTGTGCTTTTGAGCTTTCAGACATCTGTGAACAAATAACACATGAATCTCCACACCTCCTGTTATCACCTAAGCCTCAGGTCTTTGGGAAACTAGAATGAAATGGGATGTCATGGCTAGAAATCCTTAATTAATGGGCATTTGGATGAAAGCAAAACATGCAAAGAAGATTCCTAAATAGTAGAATTTGGAGGCTACTCCGAGGAAACAGTAACAACGGCATACATATGTTATGAGTGTGTGCTGCTTGTGTCATTATAAAATATGTGCACACATATAAGTTCAAAGATCTGTCTTGAGGGATATGCTTAACTTGAATCATAGGCAAACAGATTGGAAGAATATTTAAGATTCAGTAGTATGCCTTCCCACAGCTACTGCTGCCACTGGGCAATACAAGCTGCCATCCTGACCTCAGTAACAGGTTCCAACCTGTAGAGCATCAGGTGCAAACGGTCGGGGGTCATCCAATTAGGATGTAACTGGCTTCTCCACTCAGTTTTGTCTTTTAAAAAATCTTACGTTGCAACTGAGTACAGATGCACATATAGGTGAGCATGTCCCTCTTGTAGCAAATATAAACTTGGTAAAACTCCTTTGATTCTACAAATATCATTGAGTCTTTATTATCTGCAAAATCTTGGCCTAGGTTTTGAGAAAGAGAAAGATATGCTCCTCTCTCTCTTCAGACATTCAATATATTGGGAAAGACAAACATATTGACATTATCATCATATCCTGTTATATTATCAGCATGATTCATGTAAATAATTGAAGATATCTATGTAATTACATTCTTTCAATCAGTAAGGCGGTAAAAAATCAGGGATATAATATCAATATAAAGTAAAATAACTGAAAAAGCTCAATAAAAGAGTAAAAGAGGTTAAAATTTAAGGTGGACGTGAAATAATATCTAGGAATATAGAGAAGTAGCCAGGAAGAACATGGGCTAAAATGTGTCTAGATATCCAGGCCCCAGTGATAAAGCCCTCCAAAAATCTTCAACCTAAGCCTAACACCAAATACAAACATTAAAATAGGTCACAAACTTACATGCACAACTATATGTAAAACTATAAAACTTTTAGGAAAAAAATGATAGAAAATCTTTGTGACCTAAGGTGGGGCAGGGTTTTCAGACATCAAAAGCAAAATCCATAATAATGATAAATTGCCATCATCAAAAATAAAAACTTTTGCTCTGTCAAGGACCCTATCTAAATGTGTGAAAAGACAAGATACAAACTTCAAGATAATATTGACAAATCCCATTTATAACAAAGGACTTGTATCCAGAATATATAAAGAATACTCAAAACTTAAGAGTAAACAACAACCCAACTAAGATGGGCAAAAGATATAGACAGACATTTCCTCAAAGAAGATATCCAGATGTAAATGAACACATGAAAAGGTAATCAACATCATTAGCCTCTAGAGAAATGCAAATTAAAACCACAACTCAATATTACTACATTCACTGCATACCTATCAGAATGGCTAAAATGAAAAATGGTGACAAAAACAAATGCTGGCAAGAATGTATAGAGACTGTGCAAATGGTACAGCCATCCTAGAAATAATTTGTCAGTTTCTTATGAAACTAAACCTGCAACAATGACATGGCCCAGCAATTTCACTATTGGACATTTTATCCCAGAGAAGTGAAAGCCTATGTTCATGTACGCTCTATGTGCTAATGTTTATACCAGCTTTATTCATAATAGCCCAAAACTGGAAACAACCCAAAGCCCCTGAAGAGATGAATGATGAAACAAATTGATATATCCATACTGATCCCAAAAGGTCACATACTGTATAATTCTATTTATGTAATATCCCTGAAATAAACATATAGAGATGGAGAACAGATAAGTGGTTGCCAAAGATTAGGTGGTGGATATAGCCACAAAGGTGTTAGCATGAGTCTTGTGGTAATAAAACAGTTCTTTATCTTGATCTCAACAGTGGTTACACAAACCTACAAACTTGATAGAATGTCACAGGACCATACATATAAACACAGAGAAATGAATACATGTAAAGCTTGTAAAGTCTGAATAAGCTCTTTGAATTATATCAATATCCATCCTGCTTTTGATAATTATCCTAGACTTCTGAAGTTTCCACTGGGGAAAACTGAATGAAGAGTGTGTGGGATCACCCTATAGATTTTTTTGGAACTTCCTGAGAATCTATAATTATTCCAAAACAAAAAGTTAAAAATGCAAACCTCCAAAGGTTGGTTAGACTAAAAATACCAGCACAACAATTGCCTACATTTATTGTTGTGGTTCTTAAGGTTCTTCTTTCACTTGGATCTTTAGCTAATTTCATTAGTTCAGTGATTTGATGCCACTAGACCTGTTTTAGAGATGAGAAAACAAGTTTGAAAATATTGCTGATTACATGTATGAACTAGGCTAAGTGATTTCAACCTAGATTTTCCTGACACTGATTTTATTACTAACTCAATAGCTTCTGATAATGATTTAGAAAGTGAGCTGTAATTTCAAAGGCTTAAAGCCAGCCTTCTTCATAGTGTTTTCTCTGTGGATTCTGCCCAAAGTACCCCAACACGGGCCATTCATTTACTGTAAAAGAAATTAGTACCCACACACACATGTGCATGCACACATTCACACACTTGTCTTCATTCCATTTTTTTTCTCCCCAAGGCTTTTGCTTCCTTTCATTCAGGGCAGGGAGTACGAGTGGAAGGCAAGAAACACCCTGGACCAGTTACTCTTCCTAAGTAATATACATGAAAAAGAAAGAAAGCTTTACTGCATGCTGGCAAGAAAGTCAAATATCTACCTACATATCTATTGATAGGTTAATGGATTGATATAGGTATATATAGAGAGAGATATAAGTGCAAATATAAATATAAATGTATGTGTGTGTGTGATCATTCTTTCTCAGCAATAAAAATGGTCTGAGCTTGGACATGAAAGTTGTTTCCACAACACTACTTTTCATATCATTCCAATGCCAATGCCCCTCTAAGAGTTCAGACTTCTAAGGGCTTTCCATAGAAGATATGTGATCCCTTGAGCAACTGATCAAACCACTTGTTTTGAGACCTTATACAATGAAATGAGAAGAAGAAATGTCAAGGCCCCAAAGGGTAACTACAGAAACAATGGAGCTTTGTGTGACTAAAAGGATAAAGAAAAGAAGAAAGGAAAAATATCTTAGAAATAAATGTTAACGCATTTAGAAGACAAAATATTTCTGTCCACCTACCATTTGTGAAAGAGTTAATTGACTGAGAAGGATAAAGTTTGTTCTTATACTTCTGAAGGCCCTCTGGGGGAAAATTCTGTAATAGTTTGACACTTCAAATGCTCACAAACTTCTTTGAAAAACTGTCATGGTTACATCTTCCATAGTTAGTTAGCAAGTACATGCTAATTGGCAGTCCTCTAGAAGATGAGGCAAAGGGAATATGGCTCAACAGCTCAAAGGCTTTGTCCGGACTCAAAGGCTTTGAGCTCTCAATGAGACATATATACACTGTCTTCTTTTGATGGGGACCATAAAGAAGCCCGTGGGTGTAGTAATTGGAAAGATAAAAACAGTTCTTCAGTTACCAATCCTCTAGCTCACAGAACCCAGAATAATCTGTGTGACATTAAGAGTAAAACAAAAATAAAGTCAAGTAGTATTTCAGCTTGTCATAAAAGGTATTATTATCCCAGAGTTTTGGACTCTCTCTTAACTTGATGAAGCATTTAGAATACCAGTTAATTACATTGCCTTTCAAAGTAATAAATGAAATGGTGATCAATTTAAGAGGGAATGGCAAAAAGAAACTGCCAAAATACCTCATACAATTTTCAAGAAATTTAAGAAGTAAATTATGTTCTTACAAATAACAAAATAATGCTTCATCTTGACTGACAAAAACACCAGATACTGAATATTAGAGTCTCAATGTAGGTAGCCCAACTCAAAAAACTCACCTATCTCAGTCAGCTTACTTATTAACAAATAAACCCCTAGGATCCTGGTGGCTTAACAAATCCAAATACATTTTTGAATCACGCCACAGTTTGATGTAGGTCAGACT